TCTGGGTGCAAACTCCGACAATCAGTTTACCTCAAATCTCTGCGGTGATCTGCGGCGCTGGGACAAACTCTGCCCGTGGTTCATCTTTCTTCCTTTATTTTTCGATTTCTTTTTAACGGACAACAAGACAAAATCTCCCGCTGCACAGACCTGTCAGTGCGCGTCTTTCTCACCTGTCGAGCCGCGCGCGCCGATGCACACACCCCTTTTTATTCAAAAATGTTTCCACACCAAAAAAACCCAGCATATTAATTTACATCATCATTTTTTAACCAGTGGAGTTTTGAAATAATTTTATCCAAGACATAACTGTTCTACCAGACAGTATATCATTGGTACAGTTTAAAGTGCTTTATACAAAAGGTGAAAAAATAACATAGTGGTTATGTTACAATGTCATCCCTGGCAAAATTAGCACTGCAGCAATCCACATTTAGTGTGTAGCATCGCATCTTATTTTAAAAACTATCAGTTCCACTCTACCCTTTGCTTGTTTGACTTCCTGTGTGGGGTTTTACATTTTCAAAATGGCTGTTCGTCGTGCTGTACTGCAATGAGCCAGTGGGAATTACTACACTGACTAGAACGGAGGAAGCACAAAAGAAGGAGTCATTGTGAATAAGTGGTAAAACCAGCTGATGAGATTAAGACCTCACATCCTCTTTACCTTGTTCCATTAGTAAATTGTATTATTGACACAAAATTGTATAGTATAATTACTAGAACATGTCCTCCACCATTTTCTACATCACAGCTATCTTGTCCTGATGTCTGTTGTGTAAACACTAGCCTTTGCCAAAAATCTAAATTGCGATAATTTTCAACCAATTTTGGGATTGAGATTTTATTGCGATTTTCCTTTGCACTAAGCACAACGATGTCAATGTTTTACTCCAGGGTTTTAGTTTTTCCATGAACTTGAAACCCTACTTGTGAATAATCCAGTGCTGCAGGAGTTTGCTGTAACATTTGCATGTTAAGTTTTAACTTCTGCTATAAATGCATAGATCCAGGTGCTAGCAGCAACTCTCTGTTCCCGTCTATGCGGCACCATTGTCCTTTAAATCATATTACTGCCACCTAAAGGAGAATTGTTTTTGGACTGATCATATCAACACAATCTTCAGGGTGTTAATAGGGCTCGGGATCCACGTTGCATTGTGGGACGTGGCGGTCATATTGAGGGCTACGCAAACGTAAACATAGCTTTCATACAACGTTGTTGTTGAAAGAAGTGACGTAGAAGTAGAGAGAAAAAAGATGTTAAAATCCCGAAAAAGATCTGGAATTTACCAGGACACATTAAATAGAGAAGCCACGGACCGGTATGTTGACAAAATCAGCATTATTAATAATTTGGATCCATATGAAGTTCCAAACAATGAGTGGAGCACCGATGAGTGAGCGCCTATACTTAAACAGTTCCCAAGCTACAAGTCCTTGGAGTCTCATGTGCAGTTCATGAATGGATGGGTTCAGGAGCTGCAGATCATAAAGCCAGCAAACAGTGGGAACACAGTAATCCCAACAAAGGTAAGCTGTGATCAGACGGGCTCTGGAACCTGCTAGTTTAGCAACTGCTAACCGCTAATGCTAACAACCACTCACGCATGTAATGTACTTTTAACTAGCTGCTATGTGTTTCAAAGGTGTAGTTAGTAACGTTAACTGCCAACGTATTTGAGCCTTTTCCCACTGCCGATTTTATTATTTCCCCGTAAAAGATCCCAACTTTGAAGGAAAGAAACAATGTAGGCTATAAAATAAAACCGTGCATCTTTAACTTACCAGAATGAAAATGCAGGGAACACACTCTCATTGACATCGGGATACTGTGGAAAGTTATGTTCGGTCGTCTTACAGCCGCGATCCAATCTAGCCGACAACTCTTTATCTCTGACACTTGGTCTCCATGGTTACGCCTCCAGGCAGGAAAGCAGTGGAAAGTTAACCCATTTTCTATGTTGTTCCCATGGCGATCATGTGTTGCACTGTTACAGCCCACAATACAGCAACGGTTTACCATGGTTGAAATCAAGTTAAGGTGAAATTAATCAAATTAAAACACGGCTGAGAGGGAGTACAGTATGCGGTAGTCATAGGCAGTAGTCTGAGCCGCGGTAAAAGAGGCCGTCAAGATGGCGGCGACGCAAAGTGCTTACGTCATGACGACCAAGCCCTATCAGTCCAGGATGATGAATAGATTATGATGTCATCCGAATAGACAGCACAATTCTTAATGTCTCCTAATACAGTGCCGATCAGTCGCTGAAATGTAGCTGGTTTATTTCGCATTCCAAATGCCATCACTGGGTATTGTACGAAGTGGTCTGGTGTGACAAAAGCTGAAATATCAGAAGATCTGGCATTTAGGGGAACTTGCCAGTACCCCTTCAGCAGATCCAATTTGGTTATATAGGTGGCTGGACCAATGCGCTCTATGCAGTCTTCCATGCAAGGCAATGGTTGCAAATCAGGGACTGTAACTGCATTTATTCTTTGAAAGTCTGTATTAAAACATTGAGAACCATCTGACTTTGGTGTAAGAAGACATGGAGGGCTCCAGGAGCTACTTTTTTTTAAATAGCCAAACCATTTTCCAGTAAATACTGAACCTCTTTCTTCATCATTTACCTCTTGACTTGGGGACAATAGCACAGATGTGTCATGATTTTATCTAAAGCTCGGACCCACATGCAGTGAAGCCAAACAGAGAGACACAGAGTAAAAGTTTGAACGGGTTTTATTGAAAGGTATCTTGAGTTCGGTGCAGAGTTCCGACGAACTCTGCTAGGCCATGAAACTGAAAGACGAGGGGAAGACAGACTGTTAGATTCAGGCTGAGTGAGGAATTGGAGTTATTTATCTTGAAGGGGAGGTTTTGTTGCCACTCACATTTCCAGAGAAGAAGAGACACAGACTCCAGTCTGTGTGTTGGTCTTCCAGGGTTTGTTTGATTCCGTGGAGGGGGAAACAGGGTTTACCCAGAACTCGGACGGAGTGGAATGATGTAGCCGCCGGTTGCAACTCAGTTATCCTGTGGTACTTGAACGGGTCGTGGTGAAGATGACTTACTCAGAGAGTGATCTCAGCGTGCTCAAAGGTGGCTGGATCCAAACCTCCTGTTTGGAATCCCTCGCTCAGTGTAAGACTCAGTTGATCCCACTTGGGAGAAGGCGGTCCGAAAAGGTCAAGTTTGCAGGAAGGCTTCCTGCCAAAAGGCAAAGAACAAACAAAGTTGAGACTCAAGGAGAAACAAGCGCTCAGTAAAACTCAATGTGATCTCAGCTTGGCTAGAGAACAAAAACTCAAAATGCAAAACTCAGATTAGACTCAGCATAAACAAGGCTTGGCTAGAGTACCCTAAACTGGCAAACACGCTCCCTAGGGAACACCAATCGTTTTCAAGTGATGAGCTGGTGACCAGACTGATGTTTTTCAATCATTGCTTAAAAAATAAAAAAGTCTGGAAGCAGACAAACACCTTTTCACACTACTGTAACCCCTCAACAACTATGCAGGGATAAGTGGTAATAGTTAATAGATGGAATAGAGGATTTATAGAAATTGGATTAAACTGGATCGATATTAAAAAAAAGCTTCCCAGCATATCCTGTAGGGGTCACTGAGGAGTGCTGCAACTGTAAAAACCTGCAGGAGGGAAACCTTGGAGTTGAAGAGGGGCTGTGCACATTTTCAAGACCAATTTGCTTTTGGTACATCAGTATCAGAAGTAGTAAGTAGTAAATAAGCCAAGTAGTTTTTTTTTACACTTGTTGGGGGCATACACAAAGACAAGCTAGCACAGAGTTGGCTTCAATACTTTTGGGTATATACAGTTTGTCATAAACAAATGCAGGTTTGATAGTAAATAGTTGAATACTTATGACTGAATGTTATGAGAAACATAGATCAACTACTGCAGGGGAAGAGCACCAATGTAGATTAAGGATAAATAACAACAGTCTGACATTGGATTAAAGAGTAAACATTCACAGGAACTTTTGCATGACAGAATCTAAGATTCACAGCATGGATTTGCTGGATCATGAAATCCACTCTTACTGTGTGATACATTCATGTCCTTGAGCAACAGGAATTGTAACGAGCAACTATTTAAAGACCATTTCAGACACTTAACAATCGCTGTAATGAAGAAAGAAAGGAGGTTGGAAGCCAACAAGAATGCAATTTAGAAGTTAGAAAGTTTACCAAATAAAGGGTTTATACAGCATTTTATAATGTTACAAAATATCTTTAAAGAAAGGCAAGATTATTTACATTTATACCACATTTCCATAGCAAGACAATTTAAGGTTCTGTCCTCAAAAAAAATCTAAATAAAAACAACACTGCAGTGGTTTTGGTAGCACAGTCAAAATAAATAATTTTCTAAACTGGATTTAAAGCAACTGACTGTTTTAGCTCTTTTCCGGTTTTCTGGAAGTTCACTTCTGATCAATGGAGCACACGGACTAAAGCTGCTTCTCCATATTTGGTTTGGTTCTGGTTCTGCAGAGTAGATCTGATCCAGTAGACCTGAGAGGTCTGGCTGTTAATCCACTGCCAAACAGTCTGTAAATATATTTTGGACCGAGGTCATTCAGTGATTTATAGACCAACAGAAGGATTTTAAAGTCTGTTCTCTGCTGGGGCGTGTCCAGGCATTTTTGATAGGGGTGGCACAAGTGGGGCACTGACTTATGCAGGGGTGGCATGAAGTATGAGCAGGACCGCCTGCGCACAGACATATACACTCACATATGCACGCACACATGCACACAAGAAAATACACACCCACACCTAGACTTTGGTATATATATATATTGATATTTGCTTGATGAAACTGTGCAAAACTTGGTAGAGGTACAGACTGTACAAAACAAATATAGCTTACCTTACCATGCCAACATAAGTAAACAATGCACATTTTAAAAAAAACACAGTCCACCTATAAAGTTTTTAAACACCAGTATTATTGGTATCCTGATCTAAATAAAAGCAGATACTGTGATGTTAATTTAAAAAAAGGTAAAGCATACATACTATGCTACATGTGTGATGGTGAAGGGCCCTCATCACAAGAATCTTCACCTGATTCTGCAATAACACATAGGTTGTCATTAGAATGAAAATGTGCCTAAATATATTATACTTCATATGAAAAATGAATTGTTAAGACATACCAATAGGTCCCGGCTGGCTATAAGAGGCTCCCACACCACTATCCCCCTGTGGATGGCCTGCAAGAACCTCAGCCCTGGACACACCTGTAGCAATACAGAGATTTTATCAGTTCATTATAATTCAAATTGTCACATTTAGGCTTTTCACACCAGTATTGTTTAAAAAATTGTCTACACACTTAATGACAGTATATGACACTGTAGTATATTTGAAATATCTCAGTTCGAATCAATGCACATAATGTTTTAAAGAAGGTAAATTCATACATACCCTGATGTGTATGTGATGTTGAGGGTGACTCTATAATAATGCATAAGCTGTGATTAGAATGATAATACAATCAGCCTTTCCTAAGTAAACTAAGAGGTATGGTACAATCAAACCAAATTAGTAAGTTCAAACATGAGAACAAACTTGAACTATCAGGATTTCACATACCAGTGTGTACAGCTGAGGCTGAAGGCTGGCTCTCATCCTGTGACTGACTGCTCTGCCCCTGCTCTGGCTCTATCTTAGATTTCTTCCTTGCGAAGAAATCTTTAACATTCTGACTTCTTTTCATACTGTAATAGTCCCATAATGCACGGCATTCTTATATGTTGTACAATAAATAATTGTGCACACACAAGAATGAAAATGAAATGTAAATGATGTTATAGGGGTCTAATATAACAGTTTTACTCAGTACAGAATAGCTAAATGTTAGCGTTAGCATCGTTGATAGTCAAAACAGTGTTTTCTAACGAGATGAGGAGACGACAGCCGTGTGCCAATTACAATAAAATAAATAAAACAAGACAGGGTACATGTTTAGCTTATTACCGTTACAGCCTCTAACTACAGGCACAGTAAGTGTAGTAAAATGTAGGCTACTCACATATTTCACAACGTGGCGCCAGAGACGTGCTGCTTTCTGATAGACTGGAGAATGTATTCACCTGTAGGTTCATCAACGTCTTCTTCGCGCCTTCTTCAACTTCAACTCAAAACAAGAGCGCATTTTACGTTCAGTGCAGTGGCCCGCCTCTAACTGGGCATATAGCCAATCATCTTTTAAAATTGTGGGGTGGCACTTGGGGTGGCCAATCAGATTTCAGGGGTGGCCTGTGCCACCCAAGACCACTCCCTGAACACGCCAATGGTTCTCTGATATACAGGGAGCCAGGGGAAGGACTTTATAACTGGGCTGATGTGCTCTACTTTCTTAGTTCTAGTGAGTACACACTTTTTAAGCAGATCCTGCATGGAATAATTTTACTAAAGATCTACGAAGCAGGAATTCGTTTTAGAGAGCTACATATTCTGATCGTTCTATCGTTGTGGTTCCTGTATAGATGGAATAAAAGGAAAAATACAAGTCTTTTAAGTTTCAGCTTTTCTTATTTTATAAAAGTCTGGAGCTTTTGGGCTGCGTTCAGTTTTCACAAAACTATTCCATTAAGGTATTGATTGAATGTGGAAATTGTTGTAGGATATATACGTAGTAGTTGGTACTAGTGAGTTATTGTTTGGCTTTATTTTAGCTTTGTCTATGACACCTTAAATGGTTCAGGCTGTGAAACAGCTTGGCTTTAAACAGAATGACAGAAGCACATGCTAAAAAACATTGCCTCACAGTTGGAAGATTGTCGGTTAGAATCCCATGCAAAGCACTTTGCTCCAGGGTCCTCAGGAGTGTATTTTAGTGCAGCTTGTTGCTATGCTCCAATTTGTCCCCATTACGTTGAAATTCAGGCTGCTATTCTCACTTTTTATGCTCTTTGACTGATATCTGTAACCTTTTAAATATTAATGTAATAAGATAAGATTCAAATTAATTTTATTAGTATATATATGTTATCATATTTCATACATGGATTGGGCTTGGCCAAATGTCCCATTAAGTCATTAAGCTTTAAAGGAGCAATAAGCAGGAAATTAATTGTAAAATGAACCCATTTCATTCTATGTCACCTGGAATGGAAGTTTGACACGCCCTACAAACAATCAGCCTTCTCCACCGAGGGACTTTCTCTGTGTGACAAAAGAGTTACTAAGGTGTGAATAACCCCAATTTAGTAGAAAACCAAGTAGTTGGGGACAGAAGTCTACTTTTTATGTTATTTCTGGAACTAAAATGATCCTGCTTTAAAATTAATATAATTTTGGGAAAGCCTGAGCTTTTATTTCATGATACGTTTGTACAACAACATTTTTAAGTCAGAGGGTTCTTTAGGTCTGCTGTAATACTGACTACTACAGGAAATTAACCTGTTCACTGATCATAACCTGGAACAACTCTAAAGAAATGTCTTAATTCCTTATTAATTAGTCCCATTAATCTTTAATTTTCCTTTGGAATTAATAACTAATTAGGACATTTTTTATTTTACTTATATTGGAGTTTTTAAAGAATTTTACTCATTCTAGAAAGGTGTTAAAATTACTAGTGATGTGCGTCTGCAAGTGACTGACGATGTTAATATAAAGGGTAAACAAAGTGGGCCCACGGTCTAACCTCTGAGGGACGCCGCTAGGGACTCTGGGATCTTTCTTACCATTTTAAGGCTAAATTTTTTGAGAGGAAGGGGTGTAACTTTTCAGAGCTGTCTCAATCAATATTACAATCTTCAGCTTATGTTTGTAAGTATTTCAGTTTAGTATAAAAGAGTTGTTCTGCTCTATTAATGTTAATCTTTCTTTTTTTTCTCTCCATACTGTTAAATCCTTGAACTGGACTTCAGCCCACTCAGACGCCCCTTCTTCTTTTTTATGACTCCATCACAACATTTTACCTCAGTGACCCCAATCATTACGTCTAGCGGCCCTGCCTTCGACATGACCAGACCTTATCAGAGGGAGGAAGCATCAGCGGGGAATCGAGTTCACCTTCAAGAGTTTGAGTTTTGGTGAAAGGAGACAGCCACAAGGAGAAACCTCCCCCCTCCCTTTCCGTCCTCTACCTATAGAGCAATCTTCTAAAGTTTTGAATAAAATTGAAATTAAAAAAATAAACCTTTTCATAGTAACAGGAATCTAACATGAATTGATTTATTCCTCCTATTTGTGTGGAGATTAAAAAAGTAAAAAAGAAAAAAACAGCGAAGGGCATTTGGTCTTTTAATCTTGAGATTTCAACTTTATTTTTCTACAGCTTTTCTTACCATCAGAATTGGTTACCAAAATCTTGAAAGTCAACAGTTTTTTAACAAAGTGCTGAAAAATGCTTTCAAAAGTATTGTGAGAATCTACTGGACTGGAGCATTCCTCACAACGTTTTTCAGTTTGTTGATACGTCTTGTACAGTAAATACTTTATTTTCCCTCTCAATGTGAAAAGATATTTTTTCATCATATGTACAAATTGATTAATTTATCAAAGCAGGGCATTGAATTTGGATGAGTGACTTAATTAGTCCTATTTAAGATTTGGCTTCAACACCTACAGAGTCATTAGACACCCTTTGATCGTTTCAGCTGTTGTTGTCGTAGTGCTTGTGTCACACTAAGGGGGAATTATTAAGATCACATAGTACTGAAACTTCCTTTATTTATTACCATCTCTGTATTTTTAGTGTTTTATAGTTTAGATTTAGACTCCGAACCATGTTTGACACCATAGCTGTTTATTAAAATAATTCCTTGATCTTAAATACACTTATTTCCCTTTTCACTGAGCAGTTAATCATTTCACCTCACCTGAATTTGTTTTATTTTTATCTTAACTTCTTATTGGGCAGTGCACACTCTTATTTGATGTCTCTCCAGTTTATTGAAATAGATTTAAAAAGACTTGTTTAAAGCAGCATCATTGTTATTAGAACTCAAATTCTAGCAAACATTACAGAATAACTTAGCTACAATATGTCTTTGGCCATTTTTTAATCCTTTTAAGGCTTTTAGAATATGTTTATGTCCAGGAAGTCAATTTTCTATCTCTTTAGATGAGCCACTAAATAAAAATACATTTTGTGTTACAGTCATACGCTCCAGAAAGTAGGACCCAGTATTCAGGCAAGTAAGTGGGTAGCTTCAAAACGTTTATTAAAACAAACAAAAGAAACAGAACATGGTGCTGTGGACCTTCAGCGGTTGCGGGGGGGAAGCAGGGAACAATCCATCACTTACACATTGGATAGGGGGGAAACAGGTAAGTGACCACGATAATCTGACAGAAAATGATTATCAATGTGAGTCACTTACCTGGTTTAACAGTTTAGTCAGCCAATGTACTTCCACCAAGATGCGGCAGGAGCAACCCAGACTGTTCCCGATGTAGCAGCACCTGAGAGCAGGCAGGAGTCGAAGTCATGGAACAGGACGATCCTGACTTCCAGGAGTCAGTAACCCGGTCAGGGGTTCCGATTAGAGCAGGAACAGACAGATCCAGGGTTCCAGGAATCCACCAAGTGCTCAGGTAGAATCACAATTCCCTGAGACCAGGAACGAGCTTAGGCAGACACGGTCAGATGGAGACAGACGGGCTCAGTAATTCTGAGGCAGAGACGAGAAATTGTACCAGGAGAACTGCGGAACTTTAAACTGGCTCCCTCCACTGACCCAAAACAGGAGCAAGGCACACCTCAGTGGATAAGAGCTTGGACTACAGAGCTTTAAACTAGCCCCCCATCCCCCGTCGGGCCTAATTAGGAACATAGCATGCTCAGCAGACAAGAGCCAGGACACACTAAGACAAGACTAACACTAACAATCCTCTCTAATCACTGGCCTCCCAGAACGAAAAATAGAACCAAGGCATAAGTCAAACTCAAAAACACTAACTCAAATATACAATGATCAGGCCCTGATAGCTAGGCTGAAACGTATATAAAGCAGAAGGAGAAGGTGGATAAGCTGAATGATAGTGAGTGGGGGGGTTCGGCAGGTGAGTGAAGTGAGCATTTAGATCAGCTATCAGGGCTGATTGTGACAGAACATCACATTAACGATACAGCAACCTTTAGAGCTGCTGGGAAAATGTTACATCGAGGATAAGAGATTAAACCACAAACGTCGCACTGCCCAGTCAGGTTAGGCTCCTCATGTTTGTGTAACTTGTGATTTTGTTCAGATTCAAACATTATTACTTTTTTACTTCATTCAGTACTGTCTTAGCTGCATGTTATAGTAACTTCACTAAGCTGTCTTATTTATCATGGCACTTCTTTGTCTTACTATGGATGGACATTTCTAATGTTTTCTTTATTGTGAACCCACACTTCAACATCAGATGAAGACATGTAAAGAGCACCATGCATAAAATAAAGAACTTTGTAGATATATTTATTTGTCTTGGATTTCATTTATTTTGTGTTTTTGTTTCTAATATCCACTGTAGCATATTTTTAATTAGATGAATCTCACAGTAACAATAAACAAAAAGTAATTCCTTTATGCTTGATGATTTAATGCATACATTAATAAGGTGATGAAATGGACAATATTTACAGTATTATTCTTACCATGAGAACCATTAATTAATTCAATCAACAAGACTGTTTGTTGCAACTAATAAAAAAGGAAAAATATGTTTAATGGCAGCTAAAATAACAAGAAAATGAAACAATGTAAGCATGTGAATGCTTTCTCCGTTTTTCGACCCATTACAATAAAAACATAAGCTTTCATTAAACCACAGCCTGCTGCTTGAGGTTCAGCAGGCTTCAGGCTAAGCTCCAGGTGGAAGAAGATGGTTTAAAAGTTGGACAATGGACAGTTAATTTAATGATTTCAGTGTTGATCACAAAAAAAAAATAAAAATTATTTTTGTCGCGACCCTCCAAGGATGGGTTCGTCGTTGGATCGCCAACTTGAAGAGGGAGGATTTGCCATCGAACTTCTGGCCAGAGAAAAAAACCCGTAATATGTAGCCAACATTTGGAAGAAGAATGTTTTCAAGATGACTTGGATAATAGCGCGTTGTGACAAACACCAGATACAGCACTGAGACTTGATCAACAGCCGATACCGCACCGTGACGTCACTAACCAGTAGTAGTAGTGTTCTTTGACAAACATGGATGCCTCCAGTAAAGCACATTCAAATGAAAATTAATCTTAATTAAAAACATTGATCATTTATTGAACAGGATGGAATAGTTTCAGATTTAAAGTACTTTCAGAAGTTTGAATTATAAATATATTATAAACTTCTCCTGATCCACTCAAATGCATGATCCACTCTGTCCGTGCCCCCATTACATTCCCAAATCTCGTTTATTTACATAATGAAGATGATAACTTTATAATCGGACAGAGGAACTGTCCTAATTAGATGAACTACTTGGGTAAACATTAGTTCTGAATCACAACAGGCAGGTAATATTAGGGTTTTGACAGACTCACACATCATAATCCTAACATAAGCTAAGGATTTCAGGGAAAAAGACAACAAAGAAGGTTAAGAGTGCAACAGGTGAGGCTTAAGTTGAGGCTTGAATGACTGGCAGCCAGCCCCTCTTAAACTCAGTATCATAGGTAAATGCAAGCAGGAGCACATTGATGAATTAATTAAGGCATCCTGCATAGTAGTCCTCAGGAACATATCCTCCCCAGTCAATGATTGACTGCAATCCTTCAAACCAAGAAGGTAGGATACCTATCAAGTGTCTTGTAGAAAAAGGCTGGAAAGGAGGACACATTGTGCTGGAATGGACAAGTTTGATCTGAGATTGAAAAAAGAAAGATGCAATGGTTGCATGTGTTATTTAATGCTGGATAGAAATGATTGTTCTGAGAGAAACAAAGGCTATTACCCTGTAGAAGCTATAAAGAGGAAGAGAACTGTAGCAGAGGAAAAGTGTGAGTTATGTGCATATTCTATCAAGTAGGTATAGAGCTGTGGTTGGCAGGTTTGAGGAGGTGATATATGAGAGTTGATTAATGGCTTCTATTTACCAAATGGATGGGGGAGGAAAGAAACAAGGCAAAGCCTGGCAATAAGGGCTTAGAAAAATTATTTTCAGATAAATCAGAACTGAGTTAAACAATTTTATAAGGATTTCAGGAATGATTTCTGCACTTCTGAAGACAGAAGACAACTTTAGCAGGAGGTTAGTGAGTCTGAGAAGAAGACAGCCTATAAAAAAGATGAGAGGCTGCATGGACCATCCATCTACACTGATGACCTTCTTCTTAATAACTTCAAAGTATGGACAACTATTCCCTCTATTTTGGAGCTAATAATTCAGTATGAGAATATTTCAGCATTTAAATCAAATAAATAAAAATTTGCTCTTGCAAAATATTCTGCTCGAGGGTTGCTGTTAGGTTTATTCAATGATGATTATTAAAGTAATGTGTGTTCATATGAAACATTGTAGAAATGAGATGCTCCACTCCTGTCTAATGATTCAGTCAGGAGACCACCCTGCCTTGTCATTCTAGTGGAGCATCCTGTCTTCATGAACTGATCAATTGATCTGTCAGAACAATACTCTGTTTGTAACCATGTGTCATGTTCTGCAGAGGAGGTTCGATGGGAGACAGTGTGTTTGAGTCTTAGGTTCAACTGTCTCTCCTGCAGAAGCTATATGAAAATCCATTACTGTGTATTTCAGTTCTTCTTTTACAAACCTACATTTTTGAACCCAACAGTTGCACATCCACTAAAGCATCTTACTTGGTGCCAAGGCCCCCAAATATAGGATCCTGGTGCTGAAGCTGCTGCTGGCTGAGGGGGAAAGTGGTTGCTTCAGGTCAATGACAGAAAAAGATTGTCCAGGATTGGTTTTCATCCCTGAAAGTTTCCACAGTTCAATGTACACACTTGGTAAAAAAAAAAAAACCTCATCATTGCTGTGCCCTGTCAAGCGCACCCTTAGAGGGTATTGTGAATATTATCACAGATGATTTTTAAATGTATTCAAATAGTGTCTGCTGCTCTTTCTTAGCCTGACGTAGTCCTATCAATTCTAGTCAGAATATGAGTCTGATGCTGCTCCATAGAGCTGTGATTATGGGGCGTGTTTTGAACGAACCAGGGAAAAAAATGCCTCTGCACTCTATTGGATAGACCTACAACCAATAAGAGCAACGGAGTGCGTGACGTATGTTGTCGTCAACAAAAATCAAAGCGTGCAGTTGCACGCCTAGAATAAGAAGATGAGCCTTGATCGCGTTTCTCTGTTCCTCTTTTAAAATTAATTTGCTGTCGATATCTTCTAGAACAGACCTAATAGCAGAATCTACTCACCTCAACTCTCCGGCGGCAGCCATTGTTGTTGTCGCCCAAGCGCGCTTTGGTCACATGGTTGATTACGTTACTGTTGATCATCTGTCCATCATCGTATAAAGCCCGCCCTGACAATTTGATTGGATCGCCAGAGGGTGGGCGATCATACTCGCGCTACTATGGAGCAATGCCAGACCGAACTTCCCCGACCTCAAACCTTGTGGGCGGGACTAAGTTCGGAATGGCACCCAAGCTAGCTCTTTCTGAGTCTAATGAAGAATGGTAGCAGAAACAGCAGCAGATGCAGAGCTACAGTGTATCATTGATCACATGGAAAATGGATGGACTGCAATTAGAGTAAATAAGGGTCTTTTTGCATGCGTGGGTTCTCTCCAGGTACTCCAAAAACATGACTGTTAGGTAAATTGGCTTCTCTAAAGTCCCCTTAGGTGTGGTTGTGTGCGTGAATGGTTGCTTGTTCTGTTTGTCTCTGTGTTGCCCTGCGATGGACTGGTGACCTGTCCAGGGTGGACCCCGCCCTCGCCCGTAGACAGCCAGAGATAGGCACCAGCATCCCTCGTGAGCCCACTTGGGATAAGTGTATTAGAAAATAGAGGTTATGTCAACACATCCTGGACATCATTCATTAGGGTCACCTCACCTTCCTTTTGGCACCTTCTTCTTTTTGACTTTTTGAGCCGATGTAACGAGCACATTTCTCCACTTTGAGATCAATAAAAACAATCAATCAATCAGTTAGTGTTGAAATATAAGAAGAACAGTGAGAGATG